GCCTGTGGAATTGAGTACAGAAATGCAGAGAGAGGGGGTTAAGGTAGGAAGAAGGAATCAAAAATATGTTGGCCGTGAAAGCAAACTTTATTCACTGTGATGGTTAAATTTATTTATCAACTTGGCTCAACCACTGTGCCCAGATATTGGTCCAACATTATTTTTGGATGTGTCTGTGAAGGTGCTTTTCAATGAGATTAAACATTTAAATTTGTGGACTTTGAGTAAAGCATGTTGCTTTCCATATGGGTGGGCCTGAACAGAAAAAAAGACTGACCTCTCTGAATCTAGAAGGAATTCACCAGAACTGGACTTGGACTGAAACATCAGCTCTTCCCTGTGTCTGCAGCCTGATTTCCCACCCTGCAGATTGTGGATTTGCTAGCCTCCCAGATTGCATCAGTGAATCCCTTAAAATAAATCTCTCACTTTCTCATGCACACACTATATATATATATACACACACACACACACATATATATATGACATATACAGCCTAGTAGTTCTGTCTCTAGAAAATCCTAATACACTCACCAATGTTGATCTTACTTTCTCAATATTGAATATATGTATTTTAAATTTCTAGAGGATAGATGTTTTCAATAACAAATAATAGAAAAATATCAATTCATCCACTAGATGAAGCAGGGGAATTTACTGGCTAATGTAATTGGAAAGGACAGGGATACAAACAGCTTCAGGCACATCTATGTCCAGGGACACAAATGTTGCCAGAACTCTGATTCTCTCTCTCTGACCTCATGAACAAGGGATGACCCTCAAACTGCTTTGGAATCGTATCTTTATAGCGTGCAGTCCAAGCAGAGAGAGGTTATTTCTCCATCCTCACCTTTTTATATTCTAGGCGAGGATATCGATCAGACCCATGTTGAGTCACATGCCCACTCCTGTAGCAGAGAGCAGGACACTGTAGTTGGACAGTTCCACCAGAGCCATAATCAGCAAGAGGTAGTTCAAAAGAAAGGGGAAGGTGTTGTTAAAGGATAACTAAAGGCCCTGGCTGGTGTGGCTCAGTGGATAGAGTGCCAGCCTGTGAACCAAAGGGTGTTGGGTTCGATTCCCTCTCAGGGCAAAGGCCTGGGTTGCGAGCCAGATCCCCAATGGGGGTATACGAGTGGCAACCACACATTGATGTTTCTGATTCTCCCTCCCTTCCCCTCTGTCTAAAAATAAGTAATTAAAAAGCCAACTATTAAAAAAAAAAAGAATGAATAAAGGACACTGAGAAGACACAAACAAAAAGATGCTCACCAGGAAACTTCAGACTTCAGAACAAAGGATACTGATTCCAAGTAGAATGTACTCCAATACTGCCTAGAATGACTTTAAATTTACCTGGTAGGCAGAAACTGAGACTTAGTTTTCTAGAAAGAAACTCATTCTCCCGCCAAGAAATTGTCAACAAATTGAAAGCCACGAGATGAACTAGTCCAGTCTACTACTTCTGTCTGGTAGAATGTGATCAGGGCCACAATACAGGTGGGTCATTCTGGGAGATGCGTACAGCTGGAAGATTACTAGAACAAGGACAGCAATGTGATGATTGTAGGGGGGAGCAGGTACAAGGGGGTTAAATAGTAATGGAAAAAATACAATAAAAATAGTTTTAAAAAGGATCACTAAAAATATAACATGACAGAAAAAGTATTTTTCTAGATTTTCTTTCAGGGGTTATACAGGTCACCCTGTAGAGTTATCATAGATATATGTAAGGAGTATAAGGCTGGGATTTCCTAAAGGAATGTCAATTCCCACTGGACTGAAGGGCAGCTAGCTTTGTATTGTTGTATAAAATACACACATGCAACACACTGCTTTGGCCAATTATGGTCTGGAGCAAGTAAAAGGTGGAAAAGACTTTGTCCATCAGAATGCAGCACCTAGGAAAACAAGAAATGCTCCTCTCCTCCCTCAGGTGGGAGGCATATGTAGGTCCAACTCCCTTTCAGCAAGTAGTACAATAGTGATGGGCATAGACCCCGCAGCCTGATGCCAGGGGTCATGCTCTTGGTTTTTCCATGTGAGTTACGTGGCAATGGAATATATACTTCTCTCTGTGCCTCACAGGGAACAGTAACAGTTACCGGTCTCATATGATTAAATGACTTCATAAATGTAAGGTGCTTAGAAGTGTTTGTCACATAGTGCACGTTCAGTGAAAGTTTGCTATTTTTGTGTATTTTGCTCCTTATCAAACACTCTCCAAGTGCTTGGCTTATTCTTGCCTAATAATCTTAGTTTCAAGTACTTACTGAAATGTTCCACAGTTATAAAGTGTTTTCAAGAATAGTTCATGTAAAAGGATTGTATATATTCTGGGGGATTAATTTTTATTTTCTAACTTTTGTTTTAAACACAACAGTGAATAATTCTTTCTTTGGGACTTCATAGGAAGAAATTAAGTATAATTTAAACACTCAAAAAGAATGACTATTACCTGATTAAACTACACTTTATCTTTCAGTGAAAAATAGCTCAATTAACTTAAAAATGTTAGTTTTCATTTTAAGATCTACATTTGGCACTGTCTGCCACAAATTAAAAAAAAACAATAAAATTTTATTTTACCAGGACTTATTAGCAAGTCCTCCATGATTTACCAGGTTCTTTGTTATAAAACAATCAAGCTTCATATCCGACAACAGAAGCTATTAACAAAATAAAACAAAAACATTTTATTTCACATGACTGAAAATGGGTGGTTCCAGGACTGGTTCAAAAGTCAATAATGTCCATAAGGATCCAGGCCTTTTTTTCCCCTTCCCTTTGTCATTCTCAGGGACTCTCACAGCCTTAGACATCAAGTTTTCATACTACAGTGTACAAAGCAGGATGAAAAGGAATGGATACTAAAAGAGCCTTCTTTAAGTAAATTAATGCTTTCTCAATCAGGGGAAAAAAATCTTTCCAAAACTTACCAACAGATTTTCTTTTACAACTCATTGCCCAGAGCTGGGCCATACGTCCACTCACAGACTAATGACGGTCAAAGAGAAAAAGGACTTTAAATGACTGGTTTAGACTAGTTACAATTTATCCCCTGGGACTGGGGTGGGACCTACCTTGCCTGGCACATCACAAGCAGATAATTAAGAGGGACTCTTTCAGTAAGCAGCAGGGATGTACATTGGAAAGGCAACCAAGAGTTTCTCCAGCACCCTGTAGGGTCACTGCCTACTTTTGCACCATTTCCAACTAAGCACTTCCACTTTACACTCAAGCCATTCTTAGCTTCTCGCATTCCCCAGCTTATGGATTCTGGTTACACTGCTCTGTATGCTTAGAATGTTCTCCCCTACCTTTCCTCCTTGTTCTTAATGGCTGATCCCTTTCGTAGAAAATCTTTCTCATACTTTGGCCTCTTAGTTCCACCATTTCCTCCTCTTCCAACAACTTAGTCTACCACCCACTTCAGCTACTTATTACATGGCCACACCAGACTTGTCATTAACTGCATCTCCTCCACAATAGCAATTTCCTATAGCTTCAGCTAAAGGGCAGGTTAATATTCCTAGCTTACAAAGCAATTCCCAGAGTCTAAGCTGAATTCTTCTATAATAGCTCTAGAAGCAAGTTCTCCAACCCCACTATCTGGTTCTGTGAAACAAAGGGCAAATCATTAAAACTTCAGTTCTTGGCATTCACAACTGCTCAACTTCTGCCTTTTTTTTAAAAGATTTTACTTAAAACAAAACAAACAAGCAAGCTAAATAGAACCAGAGACATGGAAATAATAAACTGACAGTGATCACAGGAAGGGAGGGGATAAAGGGGCGGGGGGATGACAGGGAGAGAAGCGGAAGGGCCAGGAAACATGTATAAAGGACCCATGGACAAAACAAGGAGGGGGATTGAATGTGGCAAGTGGCTATGGCAGGGAAAAGTAAAAGGGGAAAAATAGGGACAACTATAATTCAATAATAAACAAAAATATAGAAATGTAGGAATGGAAAAACATATTTATTTTTAGAGAGAAGGGAAGGGAGAGGAGAGAAAGACTGATGAGCAAATGTCAGTTGCCTCTCATCTGCCCCCAACCGGGGAACTGGCTCCCCACCCAGCCATGTGCCCTGGCCAGGAATTAAACCTGCTACCTTTCAGTGTGCAGTATAATACCCAATCCACTGAGCCACACTAGTCAGGGCTCCATCTCTATCTTAATCTCTGTTCTTTTGGGGACCAGAATTCTAGAGATGCAGTGTACTCATCTTTCTGTCCCTGATAGTGTCTGAACTGCTGTCTCTGAATTACTATAGAAAAATAAGAGAGGATAATTTGCTATCTGTGCTATCTAAAAAGCAGTACCCCTACAGTAGAAAGATAACTGTCCAAAGTTCTGGCATGTCACAGATTATAGATCTGAGTCAGGAGAAACCAGTAGAAAGGCCAAAGCAGCTTCTCATATGTTTTTTCAAAGAGATTATGTTTCAAAAAATAAAGCCTGAGCATGCTAAGGCAGTTTTTTTTTTCCCCTCAATTCAGCCTACACTGTCCTATAATTAATGGAATTTTTTCTACATTCTGGAACCTTTTTTTTTTTAAATCAGTTTTCAGCATTATGATTTTTTGTGTGTGTGGCGGTGGGGGGCGGGGGCAGTCTCTTAGGGAGAAATTATATGCTACTACAATGGGGACTACTAACCAGATATCATTTTTCAACCAGAATTGTTCAGTTGTTTTTTTTAACAAGATAAAAATTCAGTAAAAATAGTTTCGAACATCTCATGAAAAGCTAAGCCATTTTGGAATATTTTTGAAAAGCATTCTCTATTTATTTCTGTATTTAAAAAGTAAATAAATTAGATGAGAGAAAATGTATTTTAAACTGCTTTGCACATTATGCAAAGAATTAACCATGAGAAATGAAGAATAAAAATAAAAATATCCCTGGATAAAATGCACATGTAGAGAAGATGATTCAGGATGTTATAAATAACTCATATGAGGTAAAGCAAACATGTAATATTTATAAATCATTCTCTAAAGAAAGGCATATTTTATTAATCTACAAGTTCCTTTGCAGATTAATAATAAAAGCTTGGTATCAACAAGTCCAATTGCTGAGCACCCCCCCCAAAAAACTTCAAATTATTTTAAGGTGAGTTTCCTTCTTTTTCATTTGATTCATCTTCCATAACCTAGAACCAAAAAAATAAAGAGAATTTAAGAATCAAGAAAAAAATTAGAAATTGCTATTTTCCTGTTTTTAACATTACTTGTTTACCTGAAATACTTTATAACAATGCATGTCAATAAAAATAAATCTACCAACAGCCCCAAAGAACAAGGTTTGCATTGTAAACCGGTAACCTAACAACAAAAAAGCAAGCTGAATATTAGCAAATTAAATAAAAGCAATGGTCTCTATTCCTTTTCCCCGAAAGAGGCAACAGCAGCCAAGTCTCAGCTGGTCAGAGAAGACTATGATGATTAACTGGTATTTCCTAACTATAAGACTTTTTTATTTCTCCCCCGAAGCACTTTATTTATTTAGATGTATTCTGGGATCTATACCAAACCATTATTGTAAAAATATGTATTAGGAAAATGTATCCCTAAAAAAGAGAGGGAAACAAAATATACTAGCAATGACTTGGGCTTACTCTCAGATAAAAATTCATTTTAAACCTTAGAAAAATGTTGACTTTCATTTTTAATAAGTTAATAAAACTACTAATGAAACTATCTGAAGAATAAAAACCAAAACTATTAATATCCTTTCATGAGTTAATATATTACTCAAATAATAAAGAACAACTCCTTCAGTAAGGAAAAGTTATATAAACCTAAGAATTTTTTTTCCCTTCACCATACCTACAATTAAATGCCAATTCAAATTTACAGCTGACAGCCTCACCCTGGACAAGTAAATAAAAGTGTTCCTTTGTCAACCCACTACAGTGTCAACTAATACAATTTTTTAAAAAGCATACAGAAGAAAATGGAACAAAAGTAAGTTTTAAAAAATCTAGGTGAAATCTGGTTCTGATCTGAGACAATCAATGGAGAAACAACTGTCTCATAGTTTCTCTTCTGTGTTGAGTAAAAATGGGTATTTACTTCCAAGGAATTGATATTTAGCAACACCCAATCCAAAAAATTTTGTCAATCAACTCCTATTTTAGGCAGAATATTCCTAACTTTGGGATAGTATTTCCAAATATTCAATACACTATGTAAGAACATGTGTAACAAACAGGGCTAAGTGCTGCAGAGAGCACAGAGTGGAGCACAGAGACCTAGATATGACTACAAGTCTATCAAGTAACTTACCCATGAACGTGAAGCTGAAACAGACACACAGAAAGCAGCTTTGGACCAAAGTAGAGAGAACTTAAAAAACGAGATGATATGCATTGTACCAAAAGGACCTATTTTAATATCACCCAGAGATGAGTGATTCTCAAAGGAGCTGAAGGGAGATGCCTTCTCTGTAAAGGCACAGAATTACCTGAAGAGTTTTATCGAATTTCTAATTTCCACATACACTTTCCCTTCTTGATAATCTCTCTCTTCATAAGGCCATGTTTCCTGGCTGAAAATTACTGCGGTGAGGATCACTATTACTACTTAGAAGATGCTATATTTGACTTCTGGCAAGATGGAGGCATAGGTGGATGCACTGTACCTCCATGCACAACCAAGATTAGAACAACAACAACTTAGAGCCAGAATAACACCCAGAACTGACAGAGAATTTATCTAAATGGAAGTCGGACAGCCAAGAAGTTGAAGTAGACCCATTCATCCAGAGCAGTAGGAGGGGCGTTGAGGAGAAGCGGGCGCGGGTTGTGGCGCGTGGAAATCAGGGAGAACTGAACACATAAGGCACTGGGTGCGAGTAAGCCTTCCGGGATGCGCAAGATTGCAGCGGTGGACCCTGAGTACACAAGCAGCAGCTGGTGGACCCAGTGAGGCCGCATTGTGGACCAGGGCAGAGCATGCAACCCAGGATCCCAGGAAGGGACTGAGATCCCAGGAGAACGGAACTACTGCCATTGTTCCCTCCCGCCCCCGCCCCCGCCCCCACCCACAACGTCACAATCTAGCGACTGGGGTGCCCAGCCCCAGTGAACACCTAAGGCCCCGCCCCTCACCGTAACAGTCCCCCAGGACTCATCCTTTTGAGCGACCAAGAAATAGCCAATCTATCAGATGCACAGTTCAAAACACTGGTGATCAGGAAGCTCACAGAATTGGTTGATTTTGGGTGCAAATTAGATGGAAAAAATGCAAGTTACCATAAAAGAGATGAAGGAAGAGGCATGGAGAGCCAATAGTGAAGGGAAGGAAACTGGGACTCAAAACAATAGAGTGGACCAGAAGGAAGAAAGAAACAACCAAGCAGGAAAGCATGAAGAAATAAGAATTCAAAAAAACGAGGAGAAGCTTAGGAAGCTCCAGGACATCTTTAAACGTTCCAACATCCAAATTACAGGGGTACCAGAAGGGGAAGAGGTAGAGCAACAGATTGAAAACGTATTTGAACAAATAATAAAGGAGAACTTCCCCATTCTGGCAAAGGAAATAGACTTCCAGGAAGCCCAGGAAGCTCAGAGAGCCCCAAAGAAGTTGGACCCAAAAAGAAACACACCAAGGCACATCATAATTACATTAGCCAAGGTAAAAATGAAGGAGAGAATCCTAGAAGCAGCAAGAGATAAGGGGACAGTAACCTACAAAGGAGTTCCCATCAGACTGTCAGCTGATTTCTCAAAAGAGACATTACAGAAAAGAAGGGGCTGGAAAGAAATATTCCAAGTCATGAAAGACAAGGACCTATATCCCAGATTACTCTATCCAGCGAAGCTCTCATTTAGAATGGAAGGGCAGATAAAGTGGTTCTCAGATAAGGTCAAGTTAAAGGAGTTCATCATCACCAAGCCCTTATTTTATGAAATGTTAAAGGGACTTATCTAAGAAAAGAAGATAAAGAAAAAACATGTACAGTAGAAGGACAGCAAACTCACAATTATTAACAACCACACCTAAAGCAAAACCAAAAGAAACTAAGCAAACAACTAGAACAGAAACAGAACCACAGAAATGGAGATCACATGGAGGGTTAGCAACAGGGGAGTGGGAGGAGGAGAGAGGGGGAAAAGGTACAGAGAATAAGTAGCATAGAATGTATGTTGAAAATAGATGGGGGAGGGTAAGAATAGTATGGGAAATGTAGAAGCTAAAGAACTTATAAGTATGACACATGGACATGACTAAAGGGGGGGGATATGGGTGGGAGAGGATATGTAGGGTAGAGGGGAGTGAAGGAGGAAAATGGGACAACTGTAATAGCATAATCAATAAAATATACTTAAAAAAAAAGAAGATGCATATTTCTTAACTATCTTGAGGGCAGAAAAACACATTGACATCAGGCTGTAGATAAAGCTCTATAGTTTTACTAAATACTGTTTTACTATAAAACAGTAGGATCTCTTGATAAGCTTCTTGTCTGCACATTTAAAAACAAGTGGATAAATATAAGAACAAGAAGTAGATAAATATGATGTGATAGAGCTGTTCTTCTAAAGACTTCTAAATCTCATCTATAAAACACTGTTTGAATCCACTTTTCCTAATTTTTCTACAACTGGAGCAGCATTGTATGTATGCCCTCTGAGTCTCAATTTTCTATGCACAAAATGGAAATGACTCATTCAATATACTATGGTATTAGAACATTAAATGAAGTAATATTTGTAAAAATGTCTGGCACATAGTAGGTATTCATAACACTAAAGTTAATTCTAAATTAAGGAGTCTTTAAGTCTGATAACAATTGCAACACTAAGATCCAGCCCTTAAGAAAATGTCAGGTCATGAATTTCTTTTCTTCTCAAAATCTAAACCATCACATAATATTGGCATACCTGTTCTACGCCTTCTACTTCTGGAATATAAAACTGTAGCATGTTCTGAATTCCGTTTTTCAGAGTAATGATTGAACTAGGGCAGCTGGTACAAGAACCTTGGAGTTTCAGCTGTACGATGCCATCTTCAAAGCCCTTATAGATCACATCTCCCCCATCTTCCTGCACAGTTGGCCTGTGGTCACAATATATTTGTGATATATTTAATAGAAGTTTTCATCAAAGAAATTTAATACAACTCAGCTTACATATATTTTTTATTTTACTCATTTATTTTTAGAGAGAGGTGAAGAAAAGGGAAAAAGGGTGGAAAAGAAACATCAATATGAGAGAAGCATTGATCAGTTGCCTCCTGTATGCACCCCAGCCACGGACTGAACTGCAACCCAGACACGTGTCCTGACCAGGGATCGAACCAGCGACCTTTTGCTTTGCAGAAAGATGCCAAATCAACTGAGCCACACCAGTCAGGACCAGCGCTTAGATTTTATATCATTAAAATTCACAAACTTAGCGTTGCTTTTACAATAGAGAACAATAAATGTAGCTAGTCTCATTTGTAATTTTAGTTTTGCCAACTTCACTCATACAAATATTTGCTCTACTTATATTTTAATCTTGCATATAATAATCTTAAGTAATTTAAGATTTCAAATTTCCTAATAATTATAGTAATTACCTAAGATAAACTTATTAAATTTATTTTGGGTAAACACAGGGAGATTGACACATGCCAGTTATTTTTTTTCAGGTAAACTTTTCATTGAAATACATTAATACAGGAAAACGTACAAATCATGTACAATCAATTAATTTTCACAAAGTGAACATACATTTGTCCCAGACCAATAACAGAACACTAGCACCTCAGAAGCACTCTTGTACTTCCTTCTAATCACTCCTCCCAACCAAACATTAACTGTTTCCTAATTGTTATTACTGATTGGTTTTGCCTTTTTCTTTAAAGATTTCATTTATTTATTTTTAGAGAGAAGAGAAGGGAAGGAGAAGGAGAGAAATATCAATGTGTGGTTGCCTCTTACACGCCCCCTCCTGGGGACCTGGCCCACAACCTAGGCATGTGCCCTGACTGGGAATTGAACTGGCAACCCTTCAATTTGCAAGCTGCTGCTCAATCCACTGAGCTACACCAGCCAGGGCAGTTTTGCCTGTTTTTTAACTTTAAAATTTATAAATATAAATTCCATTTAGAAACCATATAGCATTCACTCTTTTGTGTCTGGCTTCTTATGCTGAGATTCATCCATGTTGTTGCATGTAGTACAGTGTGTTCAATCTCACTGTGACATAGTATTCCATTAAGTGAATACGCCAGAATCTGTCCCTTCTATTGTTCATGGACAGTCAGTTAATACAAGTTTTTTATTTTTACGAATGGTACAGCTATGAATATTCTTGCAAATGTCTTTTGGTACACATATATAATGCTACTGGGAATATACCTGAGAGTGGAATTGCTGGATCAAGAATATGCACATGTTCGGATTTAGCAGATAATGCTAATACAAACGTACATTTCTATCAAGAGTATAGGAGAGTTCTGTTGCTCCACATCCTCACCAACAATCGGTGCTGTCACTCTTAATGATTTTAACCATTCCAGTGCATTAGCAGTGATAGTTCATTGTGGTTCTAATTTGAATATTCATAGTGACTAATGAGGTTAAGCACTGTTTCATATTTAGTGGCCATTTGGTTACTACTGTTTTTGATTTGATGCTCCAATGCTTTTGGGAAGAGACTGCTCCAGTCTCCATGTGACTGCTTGTTTTTTTCTGAATTATAGGAGTTTCAAACTGTATTGTCATATATGTATTATAAATACCTTCTCTGCACTTTGCTTTTCACTGTAAATGGCATCCTTCATTGAAGAAAATACTACGGTCTAATTTATATCCTCTTCCATGATTTTTCTTGTGTCCTGTTGGAAAAACTATTTGCAAATGCAAAGGTCATGCAGATATTCTATTTCAAATTTTCTTTGTGATTTCTTTATTGACCATGATCTACTTCTCATTTGCCCCTATTACAAGGGTATAATCCTATAGCAGGGGTGTAAAACTCACTTTTCACCGGGGACCACATCAGCCTCACAGTTGCCTTCAAAGGGCTGAATGTAATTTTAGGACTGTATAAATGTAATTACTCCTTAACGGTTAAGCAAGAGTTCAGTGCTGCCACTGGATAGAAACAAGGTGCCAGGCCTTGTGTTTGCCACCTGTGTCCTATAGGGAGCCCAACTATGAGTCTGGATGTTTCCTGAGGCCCCACCCTGCCTGACTGATCCTAACCTCCAATTTTATCACCCCTAGAACTGTAAGACTGCCACAACTCTGTTTAGCTTTCCAACTGCTTTTTGACTTCTTAGTGTGTTCCCTACCCAGCTAAAAATAAGTGCGTGCCTTGGGAAAGAACCTCCAACTGTTAGGCTTACTTTTTCTTAACTTCTCTCTAGGATCTTGGCCCTTTAAGACAAAGCTTCATTGGTGACCCAGAATTTTCATTTTTGTATTCCCATCTCAACAAATTTGCTAAAAGATAAATGGTTTCCCTGAGTCTTAGCAGCTGCCCCTGACGGGCTTTTCATAATCTAGCCTCACACTGAGACTCAGCAAATGTTCTGAGGGGAGCCTCAAAATGCTTTCTTTCTCTACAGGATCTTGTTTGCTTTGATAACTATTCAATGCCTTCACACACAAAATTTTCTTTTAATTGTATTTTACCTTGTTTTTCTAGAATTTCTGACCAAGACCATTCATCTGCTAGAAGTAAAATGCTGAAACCTGAAGTTTTCCACTTATTTAAATTTATTCTTTATGGACAATAGCCTAAAAAACAAGTAAACCTCTCCTTACAATCTTCCCAAACACTAAATGATTTTTTAAAAGAAATTTGGTATTATAACAATATCAAACAAGGAACATGTATAAAGGACCCATGGACAAAGCAAAAAGGGATAGGACTGAGGGTAGGAGGTGGAGGTGGGTGGGTTGGGGGAGGGTAAAGGCGGGGAAATGGAGACAAGTGTACTTGAACAACAATAAAAAAAAAGAACTTAAATGGTGAATGTGTAACCTGGCTGGCATAGCTCAGTGGATTGAGCCAATCCACTGAACCTGCGAACCAAAGTGTTGCAGGTTCAATTCCCAGTCAGGGCACATGCCTGGGTTGCAGGCCACGGCCCCCAGCAACCGCACATTGATGTTTCTCTCTCTCTTTCTCCCTCCCTTCCCTCTCTAAAAAAATAAATAAATAAAATCTTTTTAAAAAATGGTGAATGTGAACAATAAATTCATTTACTATGTTTAGATTGTTTTAAAATTTGGAATGAATATAGATAATATATAGGCTTTAAATTCAACTGTCATGGTTACCTACTATGGTTTACATTAACTTATACTTCTTTTAAAACTCTACTATAATCTCACAACCAAAAGTAAATTGCTATAATCAAAACTGGCTCTGCAGTATATCTGATTTCAAGTAGAAAAATAAGCACATACCGTATTCTAGTGTCTAACAATTCTTTAATCATTGCCACAACTTCATCATCTTCTTCAGATCCTAGAAACAATTACAAATAAAACATTATCAATACTATAAATTTCATAGCCATCCAAATACATTTATTAAAACAGGGCAAATTTAATTTAATCTTAATGTCTCATTAAAAAAATAAAAGCACAAAACATTTAATTTGGTATGGTAATAAAGTAACTTTGGGGTAAAAGAATGATCACTCCTTAGATTCTCTGAAGGAAAATTAAGGAGCACTGATCCATTCAGTATCTGGTGATAAAGGTGAGTGTCTGAAATAACTTAATCTTCTAATGACAGTAGGGTCTGAATATTTTGGCCAATAAAATTGTAAACTTTCCTCATTCTCAAGACTGAAAAGTAGCAGAAACAAGAAGTTGTTTGGATTTTGATGGAAACTTTAGATACAAAAAAACACAGCTACTTTTGTAAGTTACATTTTTAATTTCCTAATTTTGTGATTTTAAAAATGATGATCATTACTGAATATAAATGTAAGCCTTATGGAAATTTCCAAAATGTTCTGCAAATCTGAGCAAAAAGTTGTCTTTAAATTTTGTTTAATTTTTGTTTTTCTTTTACTTTGTAAGGTTATACAACAATGATTTTCACCAAAGCCTTTTTATGGGTTTTAATATTTTTGAGAAATTTACCTTCAGAAAAACTAAAAATATAAACAATTCAAATTATACCATAACATATGTGAGCTCCATGTGAGGTTCTTCTTCCAAGTACTTTACACAAAATAACTTACTTTCATCATATACAAAAAGCACAAACCATAGGAAAAAAAAAGATTATGCGGCTACATTAAAAAGAAAAGCTATGCTAGCTTTGGCAACACAAACACTGTAAGTGGGATGATAGAGATTATCATGGCCCATGAGCAAAGATGACACACAAATTCATGACACATTCCATATTTTAAAATTTGGAAAAAGAAAAATTTTTGAATGACAGAAGACATCCTACATACAGTGAAAAGATAAAATGATGGTTTGGAGAAGTTATCTGCTATGAAAAAATATAACTCAGAATATTTCTTATTTTTTCACATGTAAATTTCTTTATTATTGTTGTCGACACTATTGCAGATGTCCCCATTTCCTCCCCCACTGCCCCCTTTCTCGCAGCCCTTGCTCCCCCTTCCTCTGGCCATCACCACACTGTTGTCTGTGTCGATGGGTTATACATATACTTTTTTTGGCTAATACCATCACCTTCTTTCATCCAGTCCCCCCTCCCCTCTGATAGCTGTCAGTCTGTTCCATGTATCCACATCTGTTTCTATTTTGTTTGTCAGAATACTTTTTAATAACCTGATAAAATGGATACAAAAAAGACATATAATTCTATTTTTTTAAATGGGCAAAGATTATGAACAAGAAATACAGTGTCCAGCAGAAGTAAGGCCTGCTTGAGTGTGGTTGGTAGGGTAATATAGGTGTAATAATTTATAGTTTTAACTTGATCATTTCACCTAAAATGTCATATGGTGTGCTTGAGTGTGATATTGTTGTGTTACAGAATTACATGCTTATGATTTTGTAATAAAAAGGGGTATTATTTGTGCCAGACCCTATATATTCACAAGGAAAATAATGACCAGTAAACATGAAAGCCTTCAGGTTCAGTACTATAATACTAAGGAAATGCAATTAAAGCAAGATACCATTTTACACTTAACATATTGGTTAAAAATATAAATGACACTAAGTGATAATAAAGATATAAGAAAGTTAACATTTTTATACATCTCTAAATTGTATGTAAATTAGAACAATTTATGAAACAGTGATCCTACTTTTAGGAATATACTCTAAAGAAACTCTGTACAGATACATAAAGAGGCTGTACAAAAACACCCACTGCAATATTTGTAATAGAATTAGCAGGAACAATTCACTTGAACATAAGGAACACCCACTGAATATTTGTAATAGAATTAGCAGGAACAATTCACTTGAACATAAGGAACAAAATAACTCTGATTTACTCATACAATGACTATCCAGCACTTAAAATATAATAGAATTACATTTTTTACAAATGTATTTCAAAATATTATGCTCAGTGGAAAAAGGAAAGTTGCACAGAACATGAGTTACTTAAAGTTTAAAAACAACACCTAATGTTATATACTCCCTGCAGAGACTTGTAGTTGCAGTAAACGTTGAAAAGCAAACTTAAAGGAGAAAGGGGAAAGACACTGGGGTTGTAGGGATCTAGCTGTATCTTTAATATTTTATTTAAAAATGGGTCTTACAACAGCCCTGACCGGTTTAACTGGTTCAGTTTGGTTGAGCATCATTCCGCCAAGTGAAAGGTTGCTGGTTCTATTCCTGGTCAGGGCACATGCCTGGGTTGAGGGTTCAGTTCCAGGTCACAGTCCCTGTGTTTAACAGGCAGCCAATTGATGTTTCTCTCTAACATCAATGTTTGTCTCCCTCTCTTTCCCCCTCCTTCCCCCTCTCTCTAAAAATAAACAAATAAAATCTTTAAAAAAAAAAGGGTCTAAAGCAATTATAGCCAAAAATTGACATTTGTTAAATCTGAGAGGAGGGCAAATGGGTAAGCTTTATACTATTTTCTGAAGATTTTTTTTAAAGATTTTATTTTTTTTAAAGAATTTTATTTATTTATTTTCAGAGAGGGACGGGATGGGGGGGGAGAGAGAGAGAGAGAGAGAGAAGGAGAGAGAAGGAGAGAGAAGGAGAGAGAAGGAGAGAGAAGGAGAGAGAAGGAGAGAGAGGGAGAGAGAGGGAGAGAGAGGGAGAGAAACATCAATGTGTGGTTGCTGGGGGTCATGGCCTGCAACCCAGGCATGTACCCTGACTGGGAATTGAACCTGCGACACTTTGGTTCGCAGTCTGCGCTTAATCCATTGAGCTACGCCAGCCAGGGCAAGATTTTTATAGTTGGAAAATTTAGTTTTGTATAACATTCAACTTACAGACAAGTATTCAAAAATGATGTGCAAAACTAGTATAATATACATGAAGTTTTATTTCCTCTGGAATTGGTTCCAGAGCTATATATATATATAATACAATGATAAAAATCTGTATTCCCATGACTTCTGAAATTAAGACCTATATGAAAAAAATATGAAAAAAGTAGAAGTCTTTCTTATAAGATAAATATTAATTACCCAACATATTACCTGCTTCTCCTGAAGATGTTTCCTCAGTAACTAAGGGTAATCCAGATGCAAAGAAATCCATGATTGTTGCATAAATATCTGGTTTCAATAAATTCCAGTCTAACTCTTCACTTTCCTGTAAGTGTTTTAAGGAAAATGCTAAAATTTCCATCCAAGGACACAGACAAATATAAAACAATACCTGTATCTTCTAAGAATCTTTTTCTATATATATCCTGTACTATGCAACAGTACCTGTTTCTGGAGAATACATGTTACTTCCAGTCCTTAAAGAATCTGGTTTACAATGACTTTCAGAAGATACAGTTGTAGAACATTTCTCATTCACTCATTCGTCAAACTTGTATTAAGTGTGCTGTATATACCATGAGCTATATAGGGGATACTAAAATGATGAAAAGATATTTTTTCATGAGGTAAAGACTGTTATGTTTAAAGAGAATGATAAAGAAATTTCCCATTCTTTTAAATAAAACAGGATATAACTGCTTGATCAAATACATAGGATATCTGACAACTATTAAAAAATTCAATTTACATACATTACTTGAAAGTATTAAAGAAATCCAATGAGACAACTGTAGAACCAAAACATAGGATATGTTATCTGTGGCTACTGTGCTAGAGGACTTGTGAACTGTCAACAAGATCAGTATCCTTAAGAAAGAATCTATAACTATTTCACCCCCAAACCTGGCCAACCAGTTAATTTTATAAATATTTTTAAGAAGGTATAATTCATAGATACTTAAATAGTACTAACATCTAAAAAGAAAAAGGCAGGATATATTGTTTTAATTTTTTAAAGGAGAGCTCTTTAGGAGGAAAAACTATTAGATGCAGTCCATGTAGACTCAGGAAGTGCTGGTTAGGGTCCATACTGAAATGCTGTTAAAATCGAGGCTACATGCATAAGAACTATTTTTGTAATGGACTGAGAACCAATTTAGAGGCAGTATACTAAAGGGGAGATACATGGACACTGCTATGGATAAAAGAACAAAACTAGCAAGATGCCTTAGTGAGTAGGAATGGAAACTAGTTCAGGGTAGATTTTTTAAAAGATTTCCTTTATTTTTAGAGAGGGGAAAGGAGAGAGAAAGAGAGGGGGAGAAACATCAATTGGTTCCATGCCCCCAGCCCACAATCCAGGCATGTGTCCTGACCAGAAATTGAACCAGCAACCTTTCAGTTTGCAGGTCAGCACTCAATCCAATGAGCCACATCAACCAGGGCTCAGGGTCACTTTTGAGTAAATTATTGGAACATGGATCAAGAAGGCTACCTCATATCTTCAGTAAATAGCGGCTCTATTAAGTAAGGAAATCTCAGTATTAAAAAAAAAAAACAATTTCCTGAAGTTGTCTGAATGAGCGAAAAAGGCAGCATATAAGCTGAAAATATACTTACACATTTAGAAAAAACATAAATAGACTTCCGGCCAAGATGGACGCATAGGTGGACGCACCGTACCTCCACGCACAACCAAGATTGGAACAACAACAATTCAGAACCAGCATAATACCCAGAACTGACAGAAAATTTATCTGAATGGAAGTCAGCCAAGAAATTGAAATAGACCTGTTCATCCAGACCAGTGGGAGGCGCGGAGACGAGCAGCTGGGCACGGGTTGCGGCGCGGAGAACCGGGAGAATTGGGCACATAAGGCAACCAGGAGTACGTGAGGCATCTGGGGCGAGCAAGATCGCAGAGGGTGGCCCCTGAGTACGCAAGCGGCAGCTGGCAACCCAGTGAGGGGCGATTGTGGAGCAGGGCAGAGCACGCAACCCAGGATCCCAGAGAAGGGACTGAGGTCCCATAGAGAACGGAGCAACCGCCATTGTTCCCTCTCCACTCCGCCCTCACATACAACATTACAATCTAGCAACTGGGGTGCCCAGCCCTGGTGAACACCTAAGGCTCCGCCCCTCACCGTAACAGGAGCAACCAGTCCAAAAAAAAAAAAAGAGAGAGAGAGAGATGGCTCAAACAGAAGCACAAATCAGTGTCCCAGAACTCATCCTTTTGAGCGACCAAGAGATAGCTAACCTATCAGATGCACAGTTCAAAACACTGGTGATCAGGAAGCTCACAGAATTGGTTGATTTGGGTCACAAATTAGATGAAAAAATGCAGGTTACCATTAAAGAAATGAATAAAAATGCACAGGGAACCAACAGTGATGGGAAGGAAACTGGGACTCAAAATAATAGAGTGGACCAGAAGGAAGAAAGAAACAACCAAACAGGAAAGAATGGAGAAATAAGAATTCAAAAAAACGAGAAGCTTAGGAACCTCCAGGACATCTTTAAACATTCCAACATCCAAATTACAGGGGTACCAGAAGGGGAAGAGGTAGAGCAACAGATTGAAAACGTATTTGAACAAATAATAAAGGAGAACTTCCCCATTCTGGCAAAGGAAATAGACTTCCAGGAAGTCCAGGAAGCTCAGAGAGCCCCAAAGAAGTTGGACCCAAAAAGAAACACACCAAGGCACATCATAATTACATTAGCCAAGGTAGAAATGAAGGAGAGAATCCTAGAAGCAGCAAGGGATAAGGGGACAGTCACCTACAAAGGAGTTCCCATCAGACTGTCAGCTGATTTCTCAAAAGAGACCTTACAGGCAAGAAGGGGCTGGAAAGGAAATATTCCAAGTCATGAAAGACAAGGACCTATATCCCAGATTACTCTATCCAGCAAAGCTATCATTTAGAATGGAAGGGCAGATAAAGTGCTTCTCAGATAAGGTCAAGTTAAAGGAGTTCATCATCACCAAGCCCTTATTTTATGAAATGTTAAAGGGACTCATCTAAGAAAAGAAGATTAAAAAAACCGTGTGTAGTAAAAGGACAGCAAACTCACAATTATTAACAACCACACCTAAAGCAAAACCAAAAGAAACTAAGCAAACAACTAGAACAGAAACAGAACCACAGAAAGGGAGATCACATGGAGGGTTAGCAACAGGGGAGTGGGAGGAGGAAAGAGGGGGAAAAGGTACAGAGAGTAAGTAGCATAGATTGTAGGTAGAAAATAGACAGGGGGAGGGTAAGAATAGTATAAGAAATGTAGAAGCTAAAGAATGTATGACACGTGGACATGAAGTAAAGGGGGGAATGTGGGTAGGAGAGGGTGTGCAGGGTGGAAGGGAATGAAGGGGGGAAATGGGACAACTGTAATAGCATAATCAATAAAATATATTTAAAAAAGAAAAAGCATAAATAATGCATAAAGAAGCCTCTGAATTATCAATTACAAATCAAAAGGAAAACAGGCAATTATTGAAGATATCAGGTAAATGGAATAGCCCATGATGAGGAAGGTTAACTGAAAGAAAACAAACGAAATCTGCTATTCTACCTATTAAATATCAATGCACACCCTCATTTAGAATGTTATTTATTGGTTATGTCATTTCATTAAGAAAAAACAGTGGAGCTGAAGAAATTTCAAAAAAGGGTAATTAAATTATAAAAGAGAAATAAATAATGATCTACCAAAATCAAATCAAGAAAAAAAAACATGTAAGATACAGTCACCTTTTTATCTAAACATATTTTTATACAGCGTAAGCTATATGAAAAGAACTAAATAAAAATGTCTTAAATACATAATTTCCTGTTTATAAAATAAACACAATAACTACTGTATTTTTGGACTGTAAGACGCACTCCCCAGCTGCCATTTGGGAGGAAAATGGAGTTGAGTCTTATAGTCCAAATGTAGCCTACCTGGCTCACAGGATCCGGGGGCAGGGCAGCAACCTATGTTATTTATGTCATTAAATATTTTACCCCATTTTTTTTGCTTCAAAAAAATTTTTTCCTATTCTCCTCCTCTAAAACCTAGGTGCATCTTATGGTCCGGTGCATCTTATAGTCCGAAAAATTTGGTAGTTGTAAGAATTAAATTAGATAATATATGTAAAGTACTAGAGCCTTATCAAACATGTTGATGATATTAAATAAATGCTAGTCCTTTTATCCCTCAAAAAATATCGAAGAAAGAAAACTTAAGAATAAAAAGCACAAGCCAGATGTCTCTAAACTGGTCAAGACTGAGGGTCGGTTAACACGGATTTGCTCACCATGATCCTATATTTGGGGGAAGGAAGGGTGAAAATTCAACTTAGGAAATTTTACATCACTGTTTCCATCTACAAAAATTCGAGTGCATACTATATGTTTCCCATTGTTCTAGGTAATCTTAACAACATGGACAATCTTTATCTTCACAGAGTTTATATTCTAGTGCAGGAAAGACAGGGAATAAAAATAAATGAAAAATATGATTAAGGTAAGTGCAATAAAGACAATGAACAGGGTAATGAGCTCTTGGGGAAAGGACCACTTTCACAAATATGGTCAAGAAAGAGCTTTCTGAGAAACAGGTACAAAGGAATACTGGAGGAGATGTAACACGTTCCTAACCCATATGTCCACTTTCATGGTACATCAGAATACTCCTTTCAAATTGCTTATGAGGAGTTGAATGAATGTTTTTATTCTGATGCAAAACTGGACAAATGATTAAGTTCAGTGCATACAAATCAATTAAAAGATTTGAAAGGACACATAGCTCTGGCTGGTATAGCTCAGTGGAATGAGTGCGGGCTGCGAACCAAAGGGTCGCTGGTTCGATTCCCAGTCAGGGCACATGCCTAGGTTGCAGGCCAGGTGTACAGTAGGGGACACATGAAAGGCAACCACACATTGCTATTTTTCTCCTTGCCTTCCCCTCTCTAAAAATAAATAAAATCTTAAAAAAATAAAAATAAAAGGACACATAGTTCAAATTTAAATAGTTCATTTCTCATTTATCTATTAGACTTAAAAATTAAACAGCCTTTTCTAGCAAATACCACCTTAGCTGCTGCAATGGGTAGCACATTTATCTTGGTTTCTTGACATTTAGAGGTTGACCACTGCTGAAAAACTTACACAATCCACTGCTCTTATGTGTGAAGCTCAGAAGTGTTATTGTAGGATAGCAGAATGAGTCAGATGCCAGGAGGTGAGTGCCCACTTTGAAAGGAGAAATATATATTCAATCATTCTGTTGGTCAAGTATATATATTGTGTGACTATTTATTTGTTTCCCTTTTTATTCTATCAGTTACATTATAAATTAGTGAGATAATACTTGGAAGCCTAAATTCTAGTCTTGGCCCTGCTATAGGCTACCTATATAATCTTGGACACTGCATTTAAACCTTAGAAGCTCAAGTTTTTTTCTTTTGAAAAATGAGAGACCTGGAAATTCTATTAAGTAATTCTTTAAGAATGTGAGAAGTAAACTTGAGATATTTTAATAACCGTATGTATAAACACATGAAGAATGGAAATTCTGGAGAGGGGGATCCAACTCAGAAAGTACTAAAAGTGCTTATTTTCTATCATCCTATATTTTTACCTTTGTGACAGTAATAAAATCTGGTCCAAAGAAGACACTCTTCACTCCTTCAATCCTAAATAATTGCCTGTGAAAAAATAAAACATAACAGATAATAAATGTTTAATTATAAAAAGTTTATACATAAGCAAAACAGAGAAAAATAAAAGAACTTCCATGTACTCCTCACCACCTTCAAACCATGGCCCGTCTTGTTCTGTCCTCCTCCCCTACCACCGAGCAATCCCACAGGAAGAATACAGGGCATTTTTATTACTGCAGCAAAAGGTCCCTCATTTCCCTTCACATTCAGTCGTCTTGCTTTACCTCCATGCTCTGCTAACTTTTGTTTATGGCAATGACTTATTTTTGTTTAAAATTTTCTTCCAGCTTTGTTGAGATATAATTGACATGAAACATTATGTAAGTTGAAAGTGTACAATGCGATGATCTGATACACATATATGGTGAAATGATTACCACAATAAGGTTAGTTAACATAATTTTATGGTTTATATACTTTACCATCTGACATACATTTAAATTGTCTCTACTGGGCAGTTTTTAAAAGAAGGAAATCATTCCATATCTGATAACTATTATTATTTATAGTTGTAAGTGGATTTATTATAGAAATGACTTCATATCGAAGCATCTAGAAATTAATCTATTCTTAAGAATTAAATGAGTAAGTTTTCATTGCTTATTAAAAGCAGTTTTAAAGATTTAGAATGGAAATTTACCATATTATCATTTTGATGGGTTTTCTCAAGTAAAAATATAAATTTTTATGTGGCCATGAAACAGCTCTCTCAAATACATCACTTTTCAGGAGAGGGTTTCCTAATATCAACTCTTAGTTTTCTTTATCCCTTAACTGAAAAGAAAGTATTCTCTGAAAAAAAAAATGCAGTGCACATAAAAATGCAATAGCTCAATAAAGCTGCCTTAACCCCAAAATCAGTTATGTATGTTTCTTGGTAAAAGCAAGTGAAAAATAGTAATATACCTTGCCAGAGGAGAGCGAAATGCTGCAGCTGGTGTAGGAAAATCCATGGTCCTTGTCTCAAGAACTGGTTTTCCTGGAATAAACTTTAAACTGTTGGGATTTGGGGTATCTTGTGTTTGAATAAACATGTATCTCACTAAAAGAAAAAAAAGAAAAAACATTATTCTAGAAAGTAATAGTTAACAGTTTATAGACTATGAAGTACTCATTATCAGAGAACCAAAAGAAGAAAAATTAGTATATTAGAAAATAAGACTGTATTGCCCAAACTGACAAAATAAGAATTTTTAAAGACAAAAAGGCAGTTTATCAATATATTTATAATTGCATTCAATTTTATATTAATTTTGATTATTTAGTTTGTTACTCAACGGATTCCAGTAACATCCTACATTTAAGTAGGGAGGTATATTATACTTCAGGAATCATGTATGTATTCTGTGTGATGATTTATGATTATGATGCCAATGGCTACTATAATTATAAATTGTCATCACTATGATAGTAATATAGTAAAATCTTACATTCTCTTCTTTCCAAAGTGCTACCATTCTTTTAAAGACAAATGAATTTTTAAAAAGGTATAAATTTCAGCCCTGGGTGGCGTAGCTCAGTGGAATGAGCGCGGGCTGGGAACCAAAGTGTCCCAGGTTCGATTCCCAGCCAGGGTACATTCCTGGGTTGCAGGCCATAACCCCCAGCAACCGCACATTGATGTTTCTCTCTCTCTCTCTCTTTCTCCCTCCCCTCTCTAAAAATAAATATAAATAAATAAAATCTTTAAAAAAAAAAAGAGCTGACAAAAAAAAAAGGTATAAATTTCTAATAATAACTAATATTTATTGTGAGCCTACTATTTACACACCAGAGACAGGGTTGAATGCTTCAAATGTATTTAAGCCTTTAACAACCTTATGAAGGTACTATTATTCCCATTGTATAAATGAAACTGAGACTTAGAGATAAGTAACTTGTTAAATTATATAGAGTTAAGGACCTGCCCAATGGTATCGAGTTAGTGACATTATAAATTATTGTGTAAGTGGAAATCTATGTGACTTACTTTCTGGAATAAAAATTATTTTTACAGGTTCTTTTCTCTCTTTCTTCTAGGCCCAAGATTATATTGAGAATGAATTCATTAAAGCAGTACAGAAAGAACAGAATCTTTAATTTCCTACCTGAATTAAAATGACAACATCTTAGAAGACAAAAGGATAGACAGGGCTAGGGTTTTAAAACTATTAAACAGACCTTTACTATTTATTATAAAAATAAACCTTCTGACCAAAAAAAAAAATACCAATTCTCATCATAGAGCAATATATTGAAATAGGTTAATTCAATGAGTTATTAACATGTGCTGAGCATGGTGCTAAGCATTCCACATGAATTACATTATTTAATCCTTACGTCCTGCCAGGGAGGTACTGTTTCTATCCTGTTTTTTTACACATATGGAAACTAAAGCTCAGTGTCACTCAAATAAACTGATAAAACTGCCAATTTCCCATCATTGACTTGCTTACCCACTGTGCATACCACCACTCCATACTTAGTGCCAAGCATAACAGGAAAATACATTTAAAATCAGTCTTATCTTGTCACAATTCTCATACCACACAACTTAGAAAAGATGGTAAAGTATCAAAGAGCAACAGTTTCATTTTAAATTAGAGATTAAATGTGGCAAAACATATGGTTGTTATGGAAGTGCTTTTTTTAACCTTTACAAGAGAACATTCTAATTTGACAGCTGAGAATTGTTTTTGCACCTCGCCATGCAGTTCCAGCTAACTGATGTTGAATCATTTCCTTGGTGAAGTAGAAATTGAAACTAAAATCCCATACATTTTGCTTACTGAAGCCATTGTCCTATAAGATATCAGTTGGTGACTTGGTGACCAGGAAAATCCTAAAAGAGAGAAATTAAAATGATAACCTCAATGTCCAAGTGCTTGATCTAAAACGTTTATACCTCTAACCAATAAATGCCTCTGAAAAACTATGTTACAAGGGAACAATTTTTCAGATGGCACATTAAAGAAAGGACTTTCTGTAAATATAAAGACAAGAAGGTTCTTTTAACCCTGGTTCTGACTTACCATTTCTCGCCATGTTTCTTAACAATTTATTGCTAACCAAAAGCTCCACACATGTTATGCACTCTACCAGTATTTGAAAAATTAAATCTAGATTTATTCTACTCAATCCATTTGTGTAAAACTATACATACAGGAAGAAACATTTTTAGAAATAATTGAAGGTAAGAACTGTAAGTGTAAAAAATTTTTTAACAGAGCACAGTCTACATATACTACCTGAAGTAGGAAGTAATAAATGACACCACTACATAAATTTTCTTTTGATAATGAACAAAGCTATTTCAAAAAGGTAATTTGACTTGGTATTAACAAAATCATTCCAATTACGATCTCAATTTGGTTTCATTAGGTATTTCAAAAAATACTCCCAGGTCCATCATCCAGAAGGACGCCCCCAGAAGTGTCATGATGTTTTCACCAGGACAGAAAGGCTGATCCAAAATAAGTTTTCCTATTGTGCTTGGTACTTATAGGTAGATAGGTAGGCAAAAGTTCCTTCAAAATCACAGGTGAATGGTGCTGAAAGTCAATCAAAGTTTAAAATCAGTAGCTCTCCCACTGGAAAAGCCTAGATGACCACATAATTCAGTCCTACAGTAATTTAAAGTCCAATTTAAAAAGCTTAACATGCTGAGTTACTCAATATTTAAATTATTCTGTGATTGAAGAAAGCAGGCAAGGCACTCCTGTTCTTGTCTTAATAAACAGTGGAGATAAGGTCTCTACCCTAATCCAACCCAAGCCAATATCCCAAGTCAGCCATCTTCCAGAGCCTGGCCACAGAAGGTGTTCAAAGTGGTGATGGAAATGCAGATGGGACAAGAGCTGAATCCAAAGCCTTACAGCTCCATGAGCACATATAGATACGTATTTACAATGTAGACATACACACCTTCCTCCCAAGGTTCCCTAGCCACATGACAGTGGTCACATTTCAATAATTTTTAATCCTATCTTAAAATCTATTTCCAATATTAAAGAAAATAAAAACATGTAACATCAACCAGATTATTTAAAAAAACGGATTAATGTTGAAAGAAAAATTATAAAATACTACATTTTATGGTCTGGATAAAAGCTACAAATTTACTGATTTTTAAGGTATTCTCATCACAATGAAGAGGGCAACAGCTTAAAATACATGATTCTTTGAAACACAAACCCATCTTTTTATCATATTCTTTTCACCATATTTTCATTTCAGAAATCATTTATTGAGCAACTCATATTTCAGAAGATGTGTTACACAAGATACCGAAATTCCACAGATCTGTTGGACATTTTGCCCAGGATTCTTACAATTTTATGCCAATATGTGTAAGCACATGATTACAGCAAAGTGTGATGCTGTGATAGGAAAAAAATGCTACATCCTTTTATAGGCATCAGAATAGAAAATTTATAAATTCTCATCTTTTATGACCCACAAAATTTTATTAAGGCAGTTTCATTAGCTTCTGAAAAACAATTTGCTCTAAAAGAGGTGAGATTTTACCTGTGTTACATAAGGTTGGAGGTAGTGAGAAAAGTGGTCTTTGTGCAAACAGATGCAGAGGCTGTTTCTTCGTGGTGTATGGAGTCATCATATGACAGAATCTACATTTAAAAACAAAAATGACATTTTAAGAAATAATCTTTTAAGCTTGGTTTCTAATTCTCATATATTAAAAAAGCCATAATGAAAATAATAAAGCCAAACTTTTATTTTCTATACACATTATTTTCACTTTCTTAGGCAAGGAATAGCTACAAACAATTTAAAAACAGGAGTTCAAGGGGAGAGTTACGGCCCTGATGACTGACTGTACACAGGATACTGCAGTATCTGGTGCAAGAAGAAATGCATCTATACTAGTGACTCAAAACCTGGAGTCCCAGACTCAGTTATACATAGAGGAAAAAAGAACTACAAACTATTTTTCCCTTCTTTTTAAATTTTTAAAAACTAGGCAATAGACTCACACGATTCCAAATTTAAATGAAAAGAAGAAAATACAATGAAAAGTCCCCCTCCTTTTCTGTTTCTAACACATTTCCCTGAAAAGAGAGAACCCATATTATATGGTCTGAGAGGTGTTTCAATACTTCAAAAAGTCTACTAGAAAGTGTACTATTCTCCTCCAAACTGCTAAAGAAGCCAAGAATCTATATATGCTTTTTGACTGGAAGTGTATCAGTAACTTACTAAGTTACAATACTATTGTAACTTTGGTTATTCCATTAATAGAGGAAATGTTGATTGGCTTTTACCTGCCTTTGACAAATTCAAAACAAAGAGAAAAGGGAAAAACAAATATTACTGGAAAGGAAATAAAAGGAGAGTTGAGTAGTGAAAATTTTAGAAATCTGATGCAAGCTCTTTTGGAATTTAGTGTACTTTAAAATATTACATTTTTCACTTCACAGGAATCATTGAGGAATTTTAAGAATATATATGATCCCCCTTTTTTAACATCTGATTATTTTCACCTGCAAACTCATTAAGGGACTGTCTTCATTTCTATGTCCCTGAAGCAGCTGGCATGATGGCTTCAGTTCTTCACCCCTACAATGAAATTAATATTCACAGCCACCTCATAAAGACTGGGGCAAAGATGGATCCAAATAATCCTTGTAGACCCTGAGCAGGTAGCTCAGTTATGAGCTCAGTGAATGCATAAATAGGTGGAACAACAAATGGATGTTTCTCTCTCCCTCACTCTCTCCCTTCTTCTCTCTCTAAAATCAATAATTTTTAAAATGAAACATTTAAAAATGATTCATGTAAAGTTCTTAAAACAGTGCTGCTAGGCCGTGTAGTTAGTGTTCAATAAATGTTAGTTACCATTGCTATTATTATGTGACAGACGACTCAAACATGAGAGACAGGTGACTAACAAATCCTTCTAGAAACTTAATTTTTTTAAGAAATGCATTTAAATTTCAAGAGCACCATTAACACTAAAACTGCTTAAAACGAGATTAAATTCCGTTGGGTCCTTCTCTCTTTTTGTTCTAGAAGTGAAACTGGGATACAACACATACTGAAATTCTCAGTGCTCTTCCCGTAAACAATGTTGGCAAATACTACTGGCAGGGCGCGTGGGAGGGGGAAAACAAGGGATCGCAGTGGCTTTAAGTGGTGGGGAGGAAATCTAGGTGTCTGGATTCTCATCCCAGTTTCATCACCTAGATGCTTTGTGCCCTCAGACAAGTCACGTACCCTTTCTGGGCCTCACTGAGAAAATGAAGAAATGTGGTGAGATGTTCTCTTCCAATTTATGACATTCTGATTTTGTTTTTAAAAGGCAGAAGAAATGTGAAGAGCTACAGGAGCTACACGATTTCAAATGAGCTCTTAGCGTTGGGTTTCTACAGCCAGTCTCTGCTAACCTCCCCGCCGCAGGACTCAACCACAGGGTCTCAGAGCCCAGGGGTCAATGCAGGACGGTTTCCGCCCGAACAGGGGGAGAGGAGCTGCCTCAGCCAGATGCCCACCTCCAGGGCTCAACCCCCAAGTGCTGCGACGAGGACGAAGCCGAAGGCTCGGTTAGAGGCACTTTTCCCCACCCCATCTGAGGGAGTAGGCAGAGCAGTTACTGCTCCACTGCCTAAGTTCAGCGGCATTGCTATACATACGGAGCTCCGGATTTGTCACCTACCGCCTGCACAACCCTGCAGCAACCGCCGCAGCACCCAAGCCCAGCCAGGACGCCGCCATCTTAGTCCGAGTGCGCGAGCGTGGAACGGGCTTCCCCTGTGCGGAGGAGCTGCGTAAGTTCCGCGCAGGCGCAGGCACAGCCCTCCCGGAGCTGGACTAGCACCGTAGAGAGCGCACTCTAGGGACAGTTTGTAGGCTCTAGTTGTTTTTCACCTCCCAGTGCTCAAACCCCCGAGACCAGCCACCTGTGTCCCACCATTGCCTGGGGGCTGCTCTGGTCAAAACCACCCACAACATCTATGTTGCTGAACCTGGAGGATCTTCTCAGTTTTTACATTTCTTGTTCTCTACATCATCACGTGCTGAGGCTCTCTCTCTCCCTTTAATAATCTAATTCCTTGTGCTTTCCTGGCACCACAACTGCCTATTTTTCCTACTACTTTTTTCTGGTTACTCCTTTTCTTTCTTCGTTGCAGGGTTTTATATGCCCACTTTTTAAATGGTGCTTTGGGGACTTCATCCCAGGCACTCTTCTCTTCCCATTCTTTCATGATTCATTGACACACTTCATTTTGGGGAGCTTATACAAATTAGCATTTCAAGCATTTCAAAATATGTTCCTGTCCCTTGAAAAACTGGATTTTAAAAAAAGCATTTTTTTAAACTGGATTTTTGCAATTCTTGGTCATTAACATTAAATGAAAAACAAAGCTGCTTAGTAAGAGCACAAGTAGTATGATCTCATTTATGTAAAACTGTGTGTGCCTAGGAGTGCATATGCTTGTGTCTGTGTGCCTAGAGGTGTATGGAGGCAGACTGCCACCCTGTCTCTCTTTGCCTCCTCTGGATGTTTGAGTTCCTTAAATACACCAAATTGTTTTGCATTGTTGTTTGCCTTTCAGGGCCTTTGCATTGTTGTTCCCCTTTCAGGAACAGTGCAGAAAGTTACCATCAACTTTAGCCAAGGCATAGGACCCTGTACCCTAAACCCAAACCCCTTTCTCCTGCCCCAACCTGCTGGAGGTAGGTGTAGAAGGAGGAAGAGGCAGGTCCCTGATCCCAACCTAGGAGAAGGATGGAAGTGCTAAAGCAGGTGTAAAGTGGAAGTTATAAAGACTTGGCTAGATTTATTTTTTTATTTCTTTAAAATGGTTGCCTCTTGCACACCCCCAACCAGGGACGTGACCCAAAACTCAGCCATGTGCCCTGCCCAGGAATTGAACCAGTGACCCTTCAGCTTGCAGGCCAGTGCTCAATCCACTCAGCCACACCAGCCAGGGCTACATTTTTTTTTTAATACTTTAGACTAAGGTGGAAAATAAGTTAGTTTTTAAAGCTGAAAGTGACCAGCAAGTGATGGGATCTGCAGGAATTTCATCAGGGAATGAGGCAGGAAGATCAAAAAGACCACGTTTAAGCCCTTTCCTAATTGTCTCTTACTAAACTCAATCTATTCAAAGTACCCATTATATATATTTTAACCACCTCCTTGATTAGCTTTTCCTAACATACCCTTTCCCTCCTCATTCTTAGATTTTACTTTGCAGAGAAAAAGATAGAGGCCTTGATGGCAGCAATGGCAGCAGTGGCAGCAATGGATTTTCTGAACTGTCAGAGCCCTGCCTAAACTCACACATTTCTCTCTGCTGTGGCATCCAGAATATACCACTGTGAGAGTTTTTTAAAATTTCCCTCGCTATCTAAAAGCAGAACCTTCCCAAAGAATTCAGCTGTTATATCCCCTCACCAGGAGTTTAGCATCAGAAAAGATAGACTGTTATCATTGGAAAGATAAGAAGTCACCAAAACAGGCATTCACACAAAATCATCACATCTCTGTTCTCCAATAAACCTCTTTATCTTTTCCTAAAAGTCATTTCTTTTCCCAAAGTTGTCCTCTCCCCTTCCATTTCCCCTCCCTGACACTGCTTTCATCTTACCTCCTACCTCCCACAGCCAAAGAGACATCTTCCTTAACCAAAGCCAGTACCTTTTCTATTGTGGATCCATCCCCAGCTTCCTCCTGCAATTCCTTAGGGACTTTGCCCAGTTGATTATTTTTTAAGTAAACTTTTTTGTTCTAGAATGCTATTAGACTTACAGAAAAGTTGCAAATGTAGTAGTACAGATTGTTTCTGAATATCCTTACCCAGTTTCCCCTGTTGATAGCATTTTATATTACCATTGAGGCAGGAGGTAGTCAGGAAGGAAGCTCCAGAGGCCCCGCAGGGCTGAGGTAGAAAACACCTATACATGACAAAGACCCCCTAAGACGGTTGTTCCTGTTTTCTGGGAGAACTCTGAATCATAGAATGCGCCTGCGCACTACCCCTGATTCATTATAATATCATTATAATGAAATAACATTGTGGGACTCCCTTCTCCAGTAGCCAATCAAGAAAGTCATGGGAAACCACACATGCGCAGTAGCTTTGAAATCCAACTCCTTGTACTGGCACAGGAAAAGCCCGCCAAAGACTAGCAGGGGGGCTTCTGCCCCTATAAGAATAGAATCCCCCAGCCCACGTGCCCTTTTTCCTCTGCTCAGAGCTGGCTCACTCTCGTGTCCTGTGGTGTGTACTATCACTTAATAAACCTCCCCTCTTTCTTTATGCTATAAACTTTGTGTGTTCGGTTCAATTCTTTGTTCTCGATCACTAAGAACCTGGTTACCTGTGCACACCTGTGACACCATTATACATTTGCCACACTAAGGAACCAACATTAACCAAACTCCACAGTTTATTGGCATTTTACTACTTTTCCACTGCTCTTTTTTTGCTCCTGGATCTTATGTGGGACATATTACATTTATTTGTCATGTCTCCTAGTGTCTTCTTTTTTTTTACATTATATTTTGTTGATTATACTATTGCAGTTGTCCCAATTTTTCCCCCTTTACCCCCCTCTACCCAGCAGCCCCCACTCCCTCAGGTAATCCCCCCACCACTGTTCATGTCCATAGGTTATGCATATAAGTTCTTTGGCTACTCCATTTCCTGTACTGTACTGTACATCCCCAATTCATACTTCTTAATCCCCTCACTTCTTCACCCATTCCCCCATACCCCTACCATATAGCAACCATTAAAATGCTCTTCATATCGATGATTCTGCCTTTGTTCTTGTTTGCTTAGTTTGTTTTTTAGATTCAATTGTTGATAGATATGTATTTTTTGCCATTTTATTGTTCATAGTTGTGATCTTTTTCTTAAATATGTTCCTTTAATGGTTCATATAAAAATGGTTTGGTGATGATGAATTCCTTTAGTTTTTTCTTGTCTGGGGCAACTCTTTATCTGTCCTCCAATTCTAAATGATAGCTTGTCTGGGTAGAGCAATCTTGGCTATAGGTCCCCACTTTTTATGACTTTGAATATTTCTTGCCAATCCCTTCTAGCCTGCAAAGTTTCTTTTGGGAAATCAACTGACAGTCTTATGGGAACTCCCTGGTTGGTAAATAATTGCTTTTTCTTTTGCTACTTTAAGATTCTCTCTGTATTTTTAACCTTTGGCCTTTTAATTATCATGTGTCTTGGAGTGGGTCTCTCTATGTCCATTTTGTTCGGTACTCTGTGCTTCCCAGACTTGCATATCTATTTCTTCACCAAATTAGAGTTTTCTTTCATTATTTTTTCAAATAGATTTCCAATTTCTTACTCTCTCTTCTCCTTCTGGCATACCTTTGATGCGAATGTTGGAATGCTTGAAGTTGTCCCAGGGGCTTCTTACACTATCCTCACTTTTTTTATTTCTTTTTTTTCTTCTTGTTATTCTGATTGGTTGTTTGTTCTGCTTCCTTATATTCCAAATCATTGATTTGATTCTTGGTTTCATTCACTCTTCTGTTGTTTCCCTATAAATAGTTCTTTATTTCAGTAAGTGCATTATTCATTTCTGAATGGATCTTTTTTTATGCTGCTGAGGTCCTCACTAAGTTATAACCAAGTTATAACCAGTGTTTTGAACTCTGCATCTAAAGATTGTTTATCTCCATTTTGTTTAGTTCTTTTTGGGGAGTTTTGATCTGTTCATTCATTTGGTTCGTGTTTCTTTGTCTCCTCATTTGGGCAGCTTCCTTGTGTTTGTTTCTATGTATTAGGTAGAGCTGCTATGACTCCCTGTCTTGGTAACATGGCCTAATGCGGCCTATAATGTCTCGTGGTACAGCCTACCCTATCACCCAAGTTCTGTACTTGAAATGTACTTCACATGGGCTGAGTACACCTTCTTCTTGCAGTTGAGCCTTGATCGCTGTTGGCAGGTCAATAGGAGGGATTTACCCAGGCCAGTCAGTGCAAGGACTGGCTGTGACCACTGACCATCAACATCCGCCCTCCATAGAGGATCAGCTGTGTAGGGGCAGGTTTGTGGTGCTCTGACATAGTCTGTAGCTGTCCACTGAGTGCTCAGGATCTGGGGTTTCCTGGCAGTGCAGGCCAAGGTCAGCCCCCACCTGTGTTTTGCCTGGGGTCACCCTGCATGAGCTGTAAAGCAATCTGTAGATGGCTGCTACTTGTGCTGGGCTTGGAGGTTCCCAGGTGAAGCCAAGCTGTAAACCTAGGTTGGCTGCTGCTAGTGATGAGCTTGGGGCCACTTAGCAAGAGGTTTAGGGGCTGGGGGCTCACTGAAGCTGGCTGTTGCTTGTTTGAGAGGGTTTAGGGAATTGTGAAGCATGAGCCAAGACCAGCCATTCATATGGAAAAGTCACTGTTAACAGCTTGGGTGAGCAGGTAAGTTGGGTGGGACAGAGCCTCAGGGAATCTCCAGGGTGGGACCAACAGTCCTGGCCAGGTTGTTGGAATCTCTGATATGGTACCTCCCTGCCAGCTCTGTGGCTCTGTGGAGGAAAGTTCAGAAAAGAGACAATGGCCTCTGCTCATCTTGATGCTAGACACTTGTTTCTCCCTGTATGCCACTGGTGACTTTCAAGTTGCTACCCCAGTGCTGGAGCTCAGAGGGAGTGAATCTGAGTAGGTGAGTCCATGTATGGGTTCTTTAAGAGGGACTCAAAGAGTCCCAGAAATTTCTCCCATTGACTC